GTGTTACAGCTTTCTGGTGTTCTTGAAGCCTTACCTTGAGGGGGCGGCCTGTCTCTCCTTTATATTTGTTTTCGTAGCTGCACTGGATAACGTACACACAGTCTTTAGTCATGTTCTCCTCTAGGGGGGGGTCTTACTCGGGAGAGATATCTGCGAAGTGTCATCAAGGTTTTGAAGGTGGTCCTGATGTTATATGGACCACAGATCCTTTGTATTTTCAGTTCGACATTCCAACCACCTGAATAAGGCCAGAGCGTACAACGGCCGAAACGTTGTGATAAATATGGCGACAAAGATGAGGACAATAGTCTGAATAATGTAAATAGAGTACATAATACCTCATCTCAGAAATATAGACAGACTCTTAATAAGTGGCCTTGCAGATTTTTAGAAAATGCAAGACTTTTCCAATTTTTAGAGTTTAGCATTTTACAGATATTAAATAACGACTGCTACTTACCGATTGGAATTTGGGCTTTTCGATTTTAAATTGTCGTTAATTTCTTGGAGTTTCTTGTCAAAAACCTTAAAAAAAGAAAAAAAAAAGAACAAAAACTGAGAACTTGTAAATATTGGCAAAGTTTAACATGCATAGTTGCAAAAAAATGGTGTACAAAAAGGACAGTAATTCGCTTGACGCCGCTATTAATGTATATTCCATTGGCAATTTTTGTTGTTTTAGGAAGATATTTTTTGAATTTTAATAAAACTAATATAATAGAAACTGGATTCTCTTTTTCTTGATAAGTGAAAACAAGTATTAAACACTCTTATAAATTTTTTTTTTTTGTTTCCCTAATTTTCACACAATACAAGGCTCAAGGACCACTCAAGGTAGAGGGTTAGTGTGTGTTTTAGCATAAGAAAGGGCAAGATAACAGGAAAGATAGCTAATTCTAGACTTGAAGAGGTCAAAATTTAATTAGTGATTAAAATTTCAGAGTTCAAGCAGAGTAATCTGGTGATGTGAATAAAAGTGTATGCCATTTTTATTTGTTGACTTATGGCAGGCGGCGCTTAGTTTTAAACAGGTATCAGTTCAAATTAACAAAATATCAAAGAAAGGTCAGGTGTTATTTGTTTTTTATATATATATATATATATATATATATATATATATATATATATATATGCTCTACTTGTGTATCGAGCACTATTTTTAAAAATAATAACAAAAAATACTAAAGAACTTTGGATTATTTACCTAACAAGTTCTTTCCTATTTTCTATATATTTTTTACACACACACACATATATGTATATATATATATATATATATATATATATATATATATATATATATATATATATATATATATATATATGAATTCATTTGTAAACTTTTATGATTTTGTTTAGTTTATTAATGAGATTTCCTAATTTATCAATATATGGATATTAGTCAGGTGCCATCTGTATAGAGAAAGTAGTCAGTCTTTTGGCGTAAGATATTTCGAAACGCGCCAGATTCTGATTAATTAAATGTTTAGATATATTAGCAAGGTGTTATCTACTGTATGCTAAGATGCATTTTTGTTCCTGAAAAATGCCCTTAAAAACCATCCTGCATCTTAGCACTGAAAAGCGAGGAGTTTGCCAACCGTAACAAATGCCAGTCATGAGACACAAGCAACCATGGACTGTGGTAGTGACGATTCAAAAGCAACACACTGTGTCCTTGAATGCAACCCTGAAACATTGGCTGGGAGTTGGATGAAACCACACCATGTGTGGAAGCATCTCGCGGTGGCCAATTACAAGTTGTTTCTGGTGTGAAGATATAACACTGTGCTAAACTATTGCAAATCTAGTTAATAATAACCATAAACATTTAATAAGTCCAATATGTGATAATTTTTTGCAACAGAAAGAAATATCACAGTGTAGAAATGGCAACATAGACTTGCTAGTATGGTAGACTATTAAATCCTAAAATATTCCCCCTCCCAACAAATACCTATCTAATTAGAGGGTGTATCTTAGCATATGGGATATACAATATATACAAAAAGTATTCAGCATCATACTTATTATAAAACCCAGGTTGTGTGTGTGTGTGTATGTGTGCACATTTATATATTGGATCGGATTTCCTACATTTTTCAACCGATTTCAACAAAACTTCACAGGACTATGTAAAATTACCTTGCGGTGGTTCTGACAGTGCCAAAACTTGAAAAACAATTGTTTTTGCACAAAATCAATTTGAAAACATGATTAAGAGGCATCACTGTGAGAATGAAAGGGGGACAACTCAAATCGAGTTATACTTATTATAAAACCCAGGTTGTTTGCGTGTGTGTGTGTGTGTGTGTGTTCATTTATATATGGGATCGAATTTCCTACATTTTTCAACTGATTTCAACAAAACTTCACTTTTTTTTGGCAGGTAGTGTTTCTTATTGTCTTGCAAACTTTTTTCTTTATTTTTACATTTAGAATGCTTTAAAAATTCCATTTACAATTGTTTATAATAAAATTCTATTCAATCGATAGACTCATAACAATTGAAAACAATGTTTTTGCTTGAGATTGGGTTTGACCAATTTGTAAAAAAAAAAAAAAAAAAAAAAAAAAAACAAAAAAAAAAAAAACGACAAAAAAAAAAAAAAATAATTAAGACATGCGTGTCCGTCAACCTTAAACAATCTTTGTCAATTTTATTTTTCAGTCTTTATGATGATCGATACTTGATCTATCTCTTACTGTTACATCCCCGAGCAACGCCGGGCTCTACTGCTAGTTTTAGGATATTTTGAAATAGGTCAGATTTTAAGAGTAAAAAACTGTTGATAGGAGAGCTCATTGTTTACAAAAATTATTACTGAATGTAAATTTTTTTTTTTTTGATCAGTTTGTAAAAAAAAAAAAAAAAAAAAAAAAAAAATCAACAAAACTTTGGGTTTTTTTTTTATCATTAGGGAGAGATCTATTTTTGATTTTATGAGTTAGAAAATTTAAACATTTGCCAAGAGGAATGTTTGTATACAAGGACTTAATATCTCAGCTAGCCGAGACTTTATTTTACATGTTTATATTTTTCAATTTTTTAATGAGATTACCATGGTTTTCAAAGAGTAATGGGTTGATTGTTTCTAAAAAGAAACGCTAAAATATTTGCTAAGGCTAATTTTTGGGGAGCACTGCCAATACCAGAGTTAACAGGTGACATTGGAATGTTTGGTTTGTGTGTTTTTCGTAAATTATAGAGAGAGAGAGAGTCATCTTTGGATGATATTTTATTAATCATAACAATATTTTGACTTTTTTTTTTTTAAAAAAGATTTTTGATGGAATGGTTGAATTTTATTTCATATGCTTCATATATTTAACATGAAATCAGTTTTTTTCTTGCTAATGTAGATTTTGTTGAAATAAAAGAAAATTTTCCAATGACACCAATATATCGGCAGAACATGAGAAAATAGAAATTTCCTAAATTGCCTTACATATTTATCATTCTTGTCAGGTTTGCATCTAAACTTAACTGTGTGTGTATGTGTGTGATAATATGGACACCCACATAGAAAAGGGAGACAAGATTTGATTTTATCTCATCTCAAGGTTCCTGCTTTATTGCCAGCAGGTGGTTCTTTTTGAAGTCTAGCTTTCTCAACTGCATCCAATTTGACCAAAGGGGAACAAGGAAGTAAAAGAGTGGATGAGGGTTTTTTTTTTTTTTTTTTTTTGAGATCAAGTGACAACAAAACCAGAAATAGAGTATCTGAGTGCTGGTAACAGTCGTGCTTGGGATCGGAGTCAGTTATTGTATAACCTTGGTAGGAGACAGATTTGTCTATTGCGTGGTTCTGATGCCATTCATTTGTATTGCTAACCACTACGTTGGGATGTATAGATGGACAAGGTGTTGGTAGTGAGAAGAGCTGACATCACAGAAATTGACCCAAATGTTACTTACCTACCCATCCAAATAAACAAGTGAAGCCCAGAATAAAAATAGTTATTTTATAATATGAGAAACAAGGTTTGTATTATTATTTCTCAAGGTGGCATTTTTCTTTATTATCTTGTGAGTATGTAGCAGACCCTTTCCCTTTTCAATGCACACCGATGAGATCAAGAACCAAAATGCAACATGGGATAATCACTGGCTGGTTGATGAAAAGCTTGGGCGAGGGCCTAGCTGTGTGTGTGTGTATTGTGATTCATGCCAAGGAATAACAGATAATCTGAATTGAATAAAGTATCAATAGGAAACCTTTATAAAAATTGAACTGTGACCCCCACCCCCTCAATATTTATTGGAATCACCCTAAGAGATACCAAAGTAAGCTTTGCATTCAATGCTATACCAGGCCAGAGAAGCCAGGTGTGTCAGTGGGTTGAACTTGAAGTTAACCTCCTAACAATCCAATGCACATTTGAGTCTTGATGTCAGCCTGCCCCTGACAGGTCAACCCAACTGTGTCTAGGTTTGGTTTGGTTTATTTTGTTTTACGGCATATCAACCTCAATGGGTTATTTAATGCCGACAACATTTTTAGGATAGATTCGTATGAATAGAATATGTATTGTTTGGTTTAGATTGGTTTGGTTTATGGCATATCAACCTCAATGGGTTATTTAATGCTGATAAAAATTTTATTGCCAGTAACATTTTGTTTTGTCAAAAATCTGTTTCTGGTAATATATTTTCATCAAAATTGTATTGCTGGTAATAGTTAACTATTTGCCCATAGCTGGGACCCTAACAGGTGCTACCACCCCAGGTCAGGGTGGACCAGAGAACATCAGCAATTAAGAGGTGGTTCCACACTCCTCAAAACCTCCTGATCAGAGGCCTTGCTGCTGGACGTAGTTTAACATCTTACCCAGGATGCCTGTGTTTAGCATGTTCACATGTGTGACAAAAGGAAGATATATAAGCACCCACCCAAAAGGGAAAAGGTAGAGGGTTTCTTACATTTTTGCATGTCTGTAGAATTTAAGTTCAGTGAAAACCCCAAATCCTCATATTCATTCATCAATGTTAATTGACAAAGAGTAGAAAAAAAAATGATAATTTTATGTATGAGATAATCTTGCATTTATATTAGTCTGTACAACAATATCACACACACACACACAAACATTCAGCAGAGGGACAGAGGTAGCTGAGTTTAGATATACTGTGTTTGCTTTTCAGGCAATTTTACAAATCTTTTTGTTATATTTCTGCTTGTCTGGCCATTGTTTTTTTATGAGCCATATACTCGACAGTGAATGGGCTGTTTTTTTATTTTTATTTGCAGGGGAGTTATGTCAGGGTAGAAGGTGGCTAGAACAACTGACGACTGTCCTGTCATAATCAGAAGCCAGGATTTCATCCCCACTTCAGTTCAGCTATATCTGACTGATCACGGTTTGATATCAAATGAAATGTATTAGGAGTTGCAATCACCCGACACCAACAAAAAAGGTTTCTACTGCACTGACAAAGGCTTGTTTGTACCAAACAGCAAAATGATAATGCGTTTGTGGCCTTCTCAAATTGTGTGTCTTATATATTCATTGTAGTAACGATA